AAAAAAAAAAAAGGAAGAAGAAGATAGCGGGAGGCGAAGAATGAAGGGGGGGAAATCGGTGAGGAGATGAACCATGAGAGATGATGGACTCTGAAAAACAAACTGAGGGTTTTAGAGGGGAGGGGGTGGGGGATGGGTTAGCCTGGTGATAGGTATTAAGAAGGGCACGTTCCGCATGGAGCACTGGGTGTTATGCACAAACAATGAATCATGGAACACTACATCAAAAAAAAAGACTGATTTTCCTGGCGAGGAAACTGAGGCTCAGAGGTAAATGGTTTGTCCAAGATCATACCATTAATAAGTTTCAGAAATGAGAGTTGAACTCAGGTTTTCCCGCCTCCATAATCCTTATTCTTTTCCCAACACCAACTGTCTCATCAAGGAAAAGACAACTGCCATATATTGGCAGCAAGGAATAAAGATTGTTCTCAGGCATGAAAAAAAAATGTATGATGTGTTTCTTTTTATTCCCATTGTGGGCTTTCTCCACCACCATGACCATACATGCTCTGATAGCACTGGCTTCAGAGAAGAGCCTAATTCCCACCTCCTCTTAGAGGAGGTTGTACTGTGCCCAACACCTAGCTCCTGCTCCCTGGCCCTACAAAGCCCTGAACTCAGTAGGAGAAAAGCAGCATGGTACACTGGAAAGACCAGACTGAGAGACGGAATCTTTGTCCTGAGGCTATGGTCCATGCTGCATGCACAGAGAAAGACCTGACACACGTCACTTCATTTCTCTGTGCATTGGTTTCTCTACCATTGGCTATCATGACCTGACCTTCAGCTCAGGTCATGATCCCAGGATCCTGGGATTGAGCCCCACGTCGGGCTCCCTGCTGAGCAGGGAGCCTGCTTCTCCCTCTCCCTCTGCCTATGGCTCCCCCTGCTTGTGCTCTCTCTCTGTGTCAAATAAATAAAATCTTAAAAAAAAAAAAAAGAATATACAAGATGGACAGTAGTAAACTAGACAAAGACTTAATTTGCTCCCAAGCTTTGACACTGCTTAGGCAGATAGAGGATTTAACGATAGTTGAACAAGGGGAGCAAAGATTGCTTCTGGAATATTCTCAAAGGACTCAAGCTAAATGAAGAAGGAGAAATCCCACCTTCAGGCTCTGAAACCTTGGTGCACCCAGCCCTGGGGTTCCCTTGGAACCTCTCTGTATCCTTATGTGTTCCCAATTAAGGTCGAGGAAGTCACCCACACAATACCAGAGTCCTGTTCTTCTTCTTGAAGCCTCACCTGAAAAGCCTCCCCCTTATCCCAAATTTCTCCCTCTGTCTCAAATTTTATATCTTCATAGGAAAAACGATGAGTGGGATTCAGCATTCCTCCTCTTGGCCATTGCAAAACAATCACAGTATTTTCTGCTGGCAGAAAACAAAATATAAATAAAAATAGTTTTTAAAACCTTGGCATGTTTTAAAAGAGAATTAACAGTTGTGGTTTGTGTAGTAGGGAAAATATTTTTTTAACAAACAAGACTTGAGCCCCTATAATATTCTAGCAGGCAGTATGTGGTACAGAGCATTTTAGATATGTTCTTCCCCTAAGATAATTTCAGTATAGAGTAGGAGAGGTCATACACACACACACACACACACACACACACAAACACACACACACACCACATATATATTTCCTGTAATATATTACTCAGTTGCCTAATAAATTGCGAGACTGCAAAGACCAGAAGAGAGGGATTTGAGGGAAAGCATAACCATGAGTGTCAAAGAAAAAAAATACCAGATATGACGAGCAGACAGAGGTTGATTTTATTTCAGTAATATTACCAGCCAGAGGGGAAAATGTGTAGAGCATTGACCATGTCTGGTTGTTAAGCTGGATGAAAACAAAGAACTAGAGAGTTTAAGAGCTGGGGTGGAGGGATCTTAGACCACCTATGTTTGCTAACTGGCCTTATCTAAAGGAAAAGTAAGCTTTCTGGCATCTTTATGCCTACCGGGAGCTAGGGGCCGCTGAAGTTAGGTTCCCACCCTTTTATAGAACTTGGAGGATAGGGGCCTATCTTCTTTCTTGATGTTTACATTTCAGAGAGATGATTCTCAGGTCCCAGAGAAAGAATTGCCTGGGTTGTAAAATTGGAATGAGTCTGGAAGAAGATTTGTATCTCAAAGGGTCTGAGAAAGGATTTACAGTACAAGCTTTCTAAATTAAACGCTGTAAGAAAACCGAGGTCAGGGCCTAGAATCAAGGGGGAAAAAAAGTCCAAACTACAGTCAAACTGAGAGGAACATTAAGGCCACCTTGGTCAGGAAATAGAACAGAAAGATCTGAAATTATTTCATTTAAAGAGCCTAAAGGGCAGTGTCTCTGATCCCATCTCATTGAGGAAATGGGTTGGGGCTGCAGAAAGAGGCAACCCTCACATTTCAGCCTTGCCGGATTCCTTACAGGAGTGAGTCACTGAAGCCTTCTAGAAAGTGCGTCTGGCGGGAGATGGGGCTCGCATTCTGGGGCAGGGTATGGACAGGATAACCTCCTCAGATCTGCAACTGATGGAACCGCATAGCCAATAACTGAGAGAGGGAAAAAACAATGCATTTGCTTGCTGGTCCCCTCTCAGGCAGATTCCCAAGAGCTCGGACAGTAATCAGAATCATCTGGGTAAGACTCCATGATTAGCCTGGGGAACAAAGGCTCCCCCAGCTCCTCTCTCGCCTTAGCTCTCTCCAGCATTTGCCTCGCTCTACCTCCTCCCGTACGCTGCTAAGGACAGCCAGGCAACTCCACCCGTGTCCCCAGTCACAAAACATCCCCACAGTGACGGTGACGGGGGAAGGTGGGACAGAGCTCCAGGCTGGTCGCAGCTGGATAACTGCTCACAGTTCCCGGGCCAATCCGCAGTTCTCGCCTCTCCCCCTCTCCAGTGTGGGTGAGAGGAACTGAGTGGGTAGCAGGGCAGGCACCCGGTTTAGGAAAAATGGATTGGAGGCGTTAGCAGTTCGGTGGCTAGGCAGGTACAACGTGCGCGCAGGCGCTGTAGTCTCAGTAAAGCTCCCAGAGGCCGATGTACCACTCCTTACCAGTCGTCCCCATCAGGACAACCGAGCTACTACACTCCGGTGAGACCAACAGGGAAAGGGTTGACATTCCCATTCCCACTAAGAAAATTGAGGCCTGAGAATCACTGAATGTCACAGCTTGAAAGGACTAGCTCAATTGTCTGATTGTAAGAAAAAAAAGGCCCAGAGAAAGGGAATAAATGTAACCAAGATCACACTGCGCCAGCCAGGACTAGACTTTTTTCTATTAGATCCATTCTCTGTGCTGTCCAAGCATTTCCACACAACCCTCTTTCACCTAACACCCTTTCAGTGCTGATTTGTCTCCGCCACAACTACTCCTGACCCACCCCATCACCCCATTGCCTCATTGCCACTCTGAATTACCTAGGAAACCCTGTGTAAGAAAGAGAGGCCAATCTGGGAGATGGGACCTGCAAGAAACAGGCTGGAGCTCCTACTTGGGAACCCACAAGGCAAAGTGACAAGTATTTATATTCAAATTGGAGTTCTTAAGTAAATTCTAAAAGAATAGGGAATGCCAAGGTGGTTACAACAGCAGGTTCAAAGGAAAGTAATGTGAGTGGAAAAGCCTTTAGGAGATGGCTTTCCTGAACTACAGAGAGGCCTCTGAAGGCTGCTTGGTGGAAGGGGGGGAGTTGGGGGGTACTATTGGAATGGGGAGGGAGGGACTAGAGGTACTGAGCAGAGTTGGAGAGGGTATAGGCTTCCAGAGTTGCTAAGATCCAAGACTCTGGTGATTATTTCAAATTAGCCCTTCCCAGGTATCTGGCTCTAGTCAGATTCACAGCTCCAGAGTGCAGTGAGGATTTGAACCCCAAAGCTCGGGTTTAGAAAGAATAACTCAGAAAGAAATATACTGGGGTGCCTGAGTGGCTCAGTCGGTTAAGCATCTGCCTTTGGCTCAGTTCATGATCCCAGGGTCTTGGGATCAAGCCCCGCATTGGGCTCCTTGTTCAGCGGGGAGCCTGCTTCTCCCTCTGCCTCTGCCCCCACCCCCTGCTTGTGCTTGTGCTCGCTCTCTCTGTCAAATAAATAAAAATATATATTTATTTATATATATATAAATTTATATAAAAAATATATTTACTTGGATTGTTCACTACCCAGCTGTGTGAATAAGCAAGGTGTTTAATATTCCTAAGTTCTCAACTATAAAGATACAATTACTTGTCCTATCTAGTTTATTGGGTTGGATCAAATGAAATAATGGAATAAAAGTGCTTTAGAGACAGTGGTATGTATTCTAGGCAGGATTCAAATGAAACAGAGAACCATGATTCATGGCATCAGTATGTCAGCAAAGAGAGGAGGTAGTACTAGAATCAAGCCACTCACTAACTGTGTGATCTTAGGCAAGTGACTCAAGTGTTCTGTGCTTCGGGTTCTTTAATCAGTAAGTTGTTGATAATGTCGAAGTAAAATTGCACCAAAATTAAACAGGCAAGAAAGACTTCACTGTGGTTATTGCAGTAGGGGAGAGAGGACAAAACTAAGTCTGACCTCAACTCTGCTGAAGCAGGGGTGATGGAATGGGGGGGGTGATAGAATTTTTTTCTAAGATTTTATTTATTTATTTGATGAGGAGGGGAGCACGAGAGAGCACAAGTGAGTGGGAGGGTCAGAGGGAGAGGGAGAAGGAGGCTGGCAGGGGGCGGGGGGCTGGCTCCATCCCGGGCCCTGGGATCATGACCTGAACCGAAAGCAAAAGCTTAAGTGCCTAAGCCACCCAGGCACACCTGGGTGATAGAATTTTTAAGAGCTGGACTGAGCTAATGGAAAAGTACTAGAGGACCTTAAGAGGTAGTCATAGGCCATCTGTATTCTAACTGGCTTTATCAAAGGAAAAATCTCATATCTTTATGACAGGAGATACTTTTGTTACTCGGAGCTAGGCATCCTCTAATGTTAGGCTCTTAGCCTCCCACAGAAATTAGGAGATAAAGGTGCTAATCTTCTTTGATGACTGTATTTCAAAGAGATGGCTCCCTGTCCCGGAGAAAGGCTTCCGTGAGTTATAAAACTGGCCAGAGCCTGGGAGGAGATTTACATCTCAAAGGGACAGAGGAAGAATTTACAATGATGATAAGTTCTCTAAAGGAAACACTATAAGAAAATGGAGGTCAAAGGCCTAGAATCTGGAAGAAGCCTGCCTAAAACCTAGTCAAGTTAAAGGGAACATTAAGGCCATCTTATTCAATAATGATAATACTCACTCCATTCATAAGCTTGCTGTGAGCATTGAATGACTTATTCTATGTAGACAGCAGAGAAGCATGCCTTGCACTTATTAATCACTTTGGGTAAGATTCTATAATTAGCCCAGGGAACAAAGGCTCCCCTTTGAAATTATTAATGTTAAAAATGATGTCTCAGATTTCTTCCATTCTGAGCTTCATTAAATTTTTAGGACACATTGACTTTAAAACAGGAAAAGAGTATTTTCTCATGAAACAACTATCTCAATTACCTGGCCATCAGCTTGTACTCTGGCAGTTTTCCAACATGCATTTTCTTTTTCTTTTTTTTTTTTTTAAGATTTTATTTATTTGAGAGAGGGAGAGCAAGAGAGAGTACAAAGGAGAGGGAGAAGCAGACTCCCTGCTGAGCAGGGGGCCCAATGTGGGGCTCAATCCCAGGACCCTGGGATCATGACTTGAGCCAAAGGCAGATGCTTAACAAACTGAGCCATCCAGGTGCCCCCCCAAGGTGCATTCTCAATTCATAGCCAGTTTCCTGCCCTCATTCAGTACATATTCTGCTGCCTGTTCTAAAACCTGCACAGTCCATAGGTCCCAGGAAATATGAATTAACTTCACAGCCTTTATAAACCAAACCACATAATTGACATGAATTTTATAGGGGCAGAGAAGTCTGATGGTCAGTGCTTGTTAAGATTTAATTCAAAATGGCTGTTGTTTTACCTGCTGATGCCCATGATCATTTCCCCTAACTGCCTCTTTATTAGTGTTAGGACTGGAATTACTAGCATGTGGGTGGCCAGAGAAGACACCTCCCTTTGATCCGTCTTTCCTTACTTGTGTCTCCAGGCAGAGATGTTTCCATCAAGGGCTATGACAAGAGACCTGAACTGAAATGACAAATGGCTCTGAACAATGCCAAAGAAAATTGTTTTATAAAAATTTTTCTCTCATAAGAAAATTTCTTTCACTGTTGTTTAGTGCATGACAAAATTATGATTCTTTAATATAATTTTCTCCTTCCAAACTCATCGCTATGACTATAATTGGTCAGTGATAAAGAATCATATGAGAGCAGTTGATCGCTGTGCATGAAAGCAAACACACAATGTGGCTGCGTGGGTTCACAGCCTTATAGACCTCGCCTGGGGCACACATCATACTTCAAACAGGTTGATAAGGATAGAGTGGCTTTGTCCTAGCCAGAGAGGACACACACTACCTTGTGAACTTTAGAAACTGAACTTTATCACTTACTCTCTGTGGGCCTCAGTTTCCTCACCGGTTAAAACTGGGAATAATAATGTGAAAGCAGCTTTTCTCTCGTTATTGTCATGAAGATCAGATACAAGAATAAAAGAGTGCTTTATCAACTGAAAATCATATACATAATAAAGCATTATATTGTTTCTTCTTATAAGCTACCGCAACCCAAACTGACCTATAAACTCAATTTTTATGCTATAATCACAATCAAGATTACTGTAGCTATATTTTAAGAAAAGTGCACTGTTCAGCCTTTGTCCCCATTGACTTTCATCAGTGTGATCAGGATGCCGTAGCTTCACAAGGGTGCCTTCTGGTCTTGGCACGTGCAGAAGGAATATAGGAATGAACACAGGACTGTCAGTAAGAGACCTTGCTTCCAGCCTGCTGCCCATCCCTGGACAAGGCTCTTTCCATCTCTCAGCCTCAGAGTCCTCATCCAGTTCCTCTTGCACCTTTGGCAGCCCAGCAGCCCTCAATCCATAGCCCTCCTCCCTGCTATAATTTTTTCACAGAATTATACCATTTAACATTCTAGATTTATTTATATAATTTGTTTATTGCCTTTTTCTCCTTAAGACTATGTAAACTCCATGTGGGAAAACATTTCTGTCTATTTTCTATCCTCAGGACTAGAAAAGCCCCTGATAGATGACTCACTCTATTTGTTAAATGAATGGATGAGGAATGAGAATATGAAATTAGATTATCTCAAATCTACCGGTCTTAACTGTTTGAATCTTTGATTTAGTCATGAGGTAATTTCACCATTTGGTCTCATTGCCCCAAGTGAACTGTAAAAATAATTTCTAACATCTTGTGAGCTTAACAAGAACAACAAAGGTTCAGGTTAAAAGGAAAAAGTTCCTGATACATAAAAATTAAATCTATGTTAACTCTTACACCAGAAATGGCTCCCAATTTTTCCATTTATATAAAATTTATCTTCCAGTATGCTAAAATTGGTAGAAGACAAAGAACTTCTCTTTATCTGTAGACTCAAAGGAAGAAGGATGGAAAATTGAAATTAGGTCCTTAGTGACTCTCTGAAGGAACTGTCTGAGGGAATCCTGGAACTCATTCCCTCTCCTTGAGGATCCTAGCATTTCTTTCTCTCTTTTTTTTTTTAAGATTTATTTATTTATTTGAGAGAGAGACAGAGAGAGAGCACACACACAGGGGAGGGGCAGAAGGAGAAGGAGAGAGAGAGAATCCTCAAGCCAACTTTCCCCAGAGCACAGAGCCTGATGCAGGGATCAATCTCGGGACCCTGAGATCGTGACCCGAGTCAAAACCAAGAGTCAGATGCTTAACCGAGTGAGCCACCCAGGCACCCCAGGATCTTAACATTTCAAAAGAAGAAAGACTATGCTCTGCCTGGC